TATTGAGGCACAAAGAAAATTTCAATATCATCTATAATGTAGAAAAATGGAAAATTTTTCATCATTTAATGAAAAAGAAATGGTAAAAGAATGATTATAGATGTCATTTACCACAAATACATTGAACAGCACTATTTATGAATAAAAATTTAATAATCTTAAAGTGTAAGTTCATTATTACAAATAAGAATCTTACGCAAATAGGTATATTAGAAGAACTTTTATTTATGCATATTTCTACATATATACATATAGTATCCATACATACATAGTCTGAGATGACACAGTAGTGACCTTGGGACTAATGATGATTTAATAGAAAAAGGGGGCTGGGGAGATGGGTAAGTGGATAAAGTGCTTGCTGTGAAAGTGTGAGGACCTGAGTTCAGACCCTGGCACCTACGTTAAACTTGTGTGCAGTGGCAAACATCTGTAACTGCAGCACTGTGTTGGGGTGCAGGGCACAGAGCTCACTGGCCATCCAGCCTAGCTGAACTGATGAGCTCCAGGTCCCACCTTGCTCAAAAGTGATCAAGAAAGACATCTGACGTCAATCTCTCGCCTCCACATGCAGGTACATAAATGTGCATATACCTGCATGCACACATGCATACATCTACACAAACATATTTGTACAATATACACAGGAGATTTAATATAATAGGAAAACAATGCAGAGTTTAAAGAAAATGATTAGCAATATCAGATTTTTTTCCATAAAAGGTACCCTGGCATCAGTGTGGATAATTAAATATAGAGCAGGCATTGGGAGGAAGGAAATTTGGTGATGTTTTAATTTTTCTAGCATAAAATAAGAAGGATTATAATAGGCTTAAGCACTTGTGCTTCGTAGATAATTGTGGTGAATATGCTGCTGAAGGGAAAAGAAATAACTGGGAATGTATCTGAATCTCATGTTTGCCTAGCTCCATCTGCTCTAGTATATAACAATTTGTAGATGTTTTAAGAGTATAATTTGTCAACTTTACATGTTTTCTTATCATTATTTTCAAAAGACAAATGTTGTAAAGATGAATTCTTGCCACCATAATGTGATCCACCAGGCACAAAAAGTTCCAATGGAAGATCAATAGACATCCTTCTGGTGATTTTGTTTTAGGTCCACTCTCCAGGGTAGCTCTAGAAATTTATTACTAGTTGCACCCCCACTGGGGTTTCTATAGCCCCAAAACAAGCACATGAAAGGATATTTCCTTACCAGAAAAGCCTAACCTAAGGCCTACAATACTCAGTTAAGACAAGATGCATACTTGGAGATACCACAACCTATGGAATTTCTATGACTGTTACGTGTTTGTGATTAAAAAAAAAAGAAGAAGAAGATATGGGTTATAATACAGGATACTTTAAAACACTTTAAATAAACACTTCATTCTTTTTGTTTGTATGTGTGCCTGTGTGTAAATGCATGTGCATCTGTGTTTTGTGTTACAGAATAGGACAGTCATTTGAATCAGGTTGTCTAGTAAAAACTACCACAGTGGGGCTGGAGAGATGGCTCGGTTGTTACAAGCACTGACTGCTCTTGCAGAAGATCCAGATTCAATTTCCAGCACCCACATGGCATCTAAAATCTGTATGTAACTCCAGTTCCAGGGGATCCAGCGTCCTCCTCTGTCCTCCGTGGGCATTGCACGACATGGATGCACTTACACACATGCAGACAATACACTCATACACATAAAATAAAAATAATAAAATTTAAAAAACATTAAAAAAAAACCAAACAACACTAATGAGTTGTCCTCAGGTTGAGAGTAGCAAAAAGGGATGTCCTTTTGCTAGAGGATGTACTATGAGCACTTGAAATATTTCCTTCTTTCTAGTTTAAAATCACTTTAAATATTTTTAGTGTTTAATTGGCTGTACATGTTTATAGTATTATGTGTGACATATATTTAATGAAATGGCAGAGGCTTGAGACATTAGAGTAGTCATAGGTGAAGGCTCTGTTCCTATCAATGCTGAACAGAGGTGTGAACACAGAACGAGTTTGCTCCTCCAGCTCCAATATTTCCTTACAGTCTTGAAATCTGACTGTAAAGTCTAGAGGCTTGACAAGATGCTTCATGGTACGTGTGTGTGTGTGTGTGTGTGTGTGTGTGTGTGTGTGTCCATGCAACCATGTGCATTCGTATTCATGTGCTATTGCACCTACATACTTGTACAGGTGCATGTGCACATGTGTGTGGAGGCCAGAAGACAACCTTGGGTGCTATTTCTCAGGAGCTACCCACCTTGAAACAAGGTCCCTCACTGGGCCCTAGGGCTTGTTGATTAGGCTAATCTGGCTGGCCAACCAGCCCCAGGGATCCACCTTTCTCTGCTTCCCCAGCAGTGGAATTATAAGCATGCAGAATTTTAAGTGGGTCTAGGAATGGAACCCAAGTCCTTATTTATGCTTGTAGTAAGCATATTATTGACTGACCAGCTTCCCTGGTCCCATGCTTTTCTTTCTTCTTGCAGGAGTATCTGAAGGACAGCAGTGCACTTCTTATTGAACCATATCTGGAGGTAAATAATGTCTATGGCCACACTTTCATGGATATTAAAGTTCCCAGTGAATTCAGAGGCCTGAGCCCCATAATACTGCTCCCCACCAACCATTCATACAGCGGTTTTGGCACCCATGTATGATTGTCAACTGGAGTCATACTTTCCATAGAGGTATTTTCTAACATGTCAGTGCATGTATCAGGTAGAATTCTTCTAGAAATAAATCTCTTATACATTATTAAGCTTCTCTGTGTTATTGATTTTAAAGGACCAACAAAATGAATAAATGCTTTATTTTGTTAATCCAACCATTTGAAAGTAATAAGATGATTTCCCAAATGTGTACAAAAGTAATCAAGAAATTTGTATGTGTATGGTCATGGACATGTATGTTCTTATGTATTTATGTGTGTCTATATACATTGAGGTCCTTATTTGCTTTGATGCACGTATTGCCCCATTTCTGTCAATGTGAGCTATTTAATGTTACTCTAATGTTTTCTTTTGTTGTTGTTGTCCACAATTCATTAGCCTTTAATTTCTTTCTTGAGTTTTGGAATAAGATGCCCACGTTCATCTTAATTTCTCTTCTTTCAGACTTGGATTCAGAGATTTCTCCTTTGAGGACTGATTCCTTTTAATAAAATACAATATGGGTAACCAAAATATGGGTGATAAGTATAGTCTTACTTAGTTGTCATTGCTGTAAGAAACTTTAATGGAAAGATAGAAAAAAATTTTCCAAAGAGAATATGAATTATGTGTTTAATATTTCTAATTCCAATTTAATTTAAGATTTCTAATTTTTAAAAAATTATCTCTTGTTCTCTTAAAACTGAAAACCTCACATTCTATATTCTGTAGTACCCATATT